GCCTCTCCTCACAGAGACCCCCCTGCAGCCCCAGCTGCCAACAGCTGGACACTCAATACAGCAGGTTCACTTACTAACTTACTCATCTTTCCTATGAAAGCATTGAAAATACCTTGTCCATTAACTGTCCCCCAGAAGCACTGAGTGCTGCCATTCTATCTTGTGCGCAAACCAAGTATGTAGAAATCCATTCAGGTAAATCTTTAGCTTTGTGCCCAAGAAAGTGGCCTGTGTTAATTTGCAAGATCCTCAATTTTCCTTAGTTGACTTCGCTGTCTGATTTATAAATTCTCTTGTGCCATGGTAATACCCTCAAGTTACATGTCAGCCTTTGCTATGTATTTGTCAGTCTCTCACAAAGATTAATCAGAACAATAGTAAAAAAGGTGCCGTATTTTGTATTAACATCCAGTGATCTGACAAAGTGCAGCTCCAGTGGGAAAGGACGAAATCGTGTTTTATTTAACTGGGAGATACTGCAATATGGATAACCAGTTACCCATTCACCTTCAAGTATCAGGACAGTCAACTTTTCTTTGCTCAAAAGTCGAATACTCTTTTTTTCCTGCTTACTGTTTCAAGCAGCGAGGCTTGGAAGGTGATGTGGAAACTTGCAGCCACGGAGAGGAATTCGGATGGCAACGAATAAAGGATGAGGAGAGAATAGCAGGAGAAAGCACACCTGGGAAATGATGAGGAATCGATAAGGACAGTTTTCAAAGAACAGTGTTGGTTTTAAGACTAAAATGTAGAAAGACAACTAAAATGCACTGGGTTATAGAGTCCCCCAAAATGCAAGCAAGTAATTTTTTTTTGACGCAGATTTGTTTTATTCCATATCAGTCTCTGCAGTGGTGTTTCGCAGTAGATTTGAGGGGATATGGCAGAAGCAGGCGATAGGGGAGCCTCTGCTTTTCTGCTTCTGGACAGCATGCTTGTGCTGCTTTCTCTCCGTAGTCCTTAAACACCTGCAGGTACAATTTGGCTTATATCTAAAATGTTAGTGAATAACTAGATATCTGCTGTGTGTCAACAAATATAAATGCTGATCCGGAATAGAAGATTATTCTGTGTGCCTTCTCAAATTGGAGTAATTTTTGAGAGTTTGTCTTAACTGTGACTTTGAATCTTTTTTTTGTTTATACCTGTGTCATCATATCAGAGAATGGGTTGAGTTGGGAAGGACCTTTAAGGATCATCTAGTTCCAACGCCCCTGCCATAAGCAGGGATGTCTTTCACTAGACCAGCTTGCCCAAAGCCCCATCCAGCCTGACGTTGAACACTTCCAGGCATGGGGCATCCACAGCTTCTCTGGACAGCCAGTTCCAGTGTATCACCAACCTTATCGTCACATATTTCTTCCTATGTAAACTTACCCTCCTTCACGTGTTCTCCGCCGCTCTTGTATATTCTACAGTCTGAAGACTCTTTTTAGTTTATCAACATGTTTTGTGTGCACAAGGAGAGTGAGCATGCATTTTCCTTTGTGAAATAAACTTGCCATACTATGAAAAGATGTCATTTTAAGTATTCGTAGTTCATATACAATGCGTGTGTTTACAGCTTCTAAATGTTTTTCTTATTTTAGTGATTTCTAATGGGACAATGTATTTTCAGTGATTTCAAAGCCAAGAAGATTACTGCAACTTCTATTTGCAGTGAAATCCTAAGCAGCAGTAACTCCTAGTAAATTTTTATCAAATCCCTGTATAAATTTTGATTGCAGGCAGCCAAATCACTTGCTGAAAAGAAGTTCTTTTGCTGAAACTAACAAATTGAAATTTTGCAATATCTGCTCTTAGCATCATAAGTAGATTGTTAAATATACTTATTTTGGGAAAGGGCTGTAAAGAGTTTTATACTTAGGATATGCTGTATTGGCACACTCAAAGGGATGAGGACATTTATTATCAGAATTTCATTGCGGGAATGTATAGAGGAGGAAACATGCAGTGCGTGTCAAACATCGTGGGCTGTTACCGCTGGACAAGCAATGATACCTACATTTAAGGATTGGAAGCAGAAGTTTAGGGTTTGAGAAGAGATACAAATTTGGTGTAGGTCATGGATCAAGGCTAATTCTGAATCTCCCTCACTCCGTCATGTACTATTAACTTGAAAAATATGACTGCGGTCACGTTGAAAACTGGTTCATTTGGCTTTTGCATGCATCTTGATGATGAATAAGGAAGTAGGGTACCTTTTTACAGAGAAATCCTTTCAAAACCTTTGGAACAATTGAGAGGTGAATATTACAGCACTTGATCAGAGGAGCAGAGTCATGTTCCTTGAGTAAGCCCTTGCTTTGACTGTAGGATGTGGCTCCCTGGTGAGTAGCACTGCTTGCCACTCTTATGTGAAGCAGTGGGATCTGTGTTTTAAGTACCATGCTTGTGATAACCAAAGGTAAAGGCTGTTGCCAGGGGGTTGTATCAGTGGTTATGGCAGCTCATCTGCTGTCATCACCTGATTAGGACCTCTCTTCCCGTGGATCTGGACCTGATAGCATATCTGCTCCCAGTCTTGATGCTTCAGTCCACACTCAAGCTTTGAGAAGGCAGAAGGGTTTTATGTTTGCTTCTATTACAAAGGTCCTTTGTAAACGTCTTTATGAAATGTCAAGTACTGCATTCTGGTTTAGTTCTCTGAGTAGTCAAAAGAGGAAATTTTCCCTTAATTTTCTGAGTTTGTTTTGCCTTTATCCTTATTTTGAAGAATGTTTGAAGATGTCTTTTATATGTGAGGAAATCTTGATTATTATGTTGGTCTCAGCAATTTAATTCTCTTTTTCTTGCTTTTCAGATATGAATTGAGAATTCGATATTTGCCAAAAGGATTCCTAAACCAATTCACTGAGGACAAACCAACCCTAAATTTTTTCTATCAGCAGGTATGTTCAGTTCTACTACTTTTTCTTTTGCTGGCATCAATTTGGAAAATTCTGGCTTTGTTTATGCAGATAACTTATTACTGCAGAAACAGAAATTGGTAAAATTTAAGGTTGCATATATAAAGCAGAAAGGGCATGAGGCCCGTGGCATCTTTCTCCTTGAGAAGTGGCCAGGAATATTTTCCAAAGACAAGGTAGTTCTGCAGTCGTCTTCTTAACTCAGATGAAATCTACTGTTGTTCAGCTGGCTTCTTATAGTTATTTCACACTTTATTAAATTGCTGAATTTCCTTATTTTTGCAAGTGTAAATAAGTGTGCAATTTCACTACAACCATGGAATGTTTTTTCCAGTCATATTATTAGGTTGTTTTTTTATTTGAGTATCTCTTATTGATTAGTAAAACTGCGTAACGGGAGAAGTTTCTATAAGTTAAGCACCTAAACCTTCATTTTGTTCACTTAAATTATTTTAATCTTCTTTTAGACTGGCACCTCAAAGTAAAACTTCCTGGGGCTATCTTTTAGAGGAGTCTGGACTAGAATGGTTGTAGTATCCCCTAACTTTAAGAATCCATGCATCTCTGAAAAATTCAGCTTACTTATTGGATACTTGTTAGGGGTGTCTTCTATCTTCATACACTGAAATACTGTTAGTGCTTTACAAACAGTTTGTGTTACTAATGGTGCCAAGTTTGTGAACCAGATATGTTTTTATGTTGTGTTTTTTTTGCACTATTTGTAACTACTATATGGAGGATTAGTTTTAATCTAGATTATTTAAAGGAGTCATTTTATGGAGTATTGTCATGATAGAGATGGAATAAGGTAGGAATGAGAGGCTGGGGGAGAGGGCTTGTGAAGTCAGCTGAAATGGCAGAGCTCAAGAACTACACCATGAAAGCTCTGGAGTTTTGTTTTGAAATGGGAAATTTTTTTTAACCTGACTCATCTTGTTGTGTCAAAGGCACAACAATATGAAGTACTGATAATGTTACTCAAACCCCAAAGGCTTCTACCAAGGAGAACTATTCCCACGGACTACTGTTCTTTTTGTTGTGTCTCTATCACACTTAAAAATACCCTGATCTTAGGTTGATTGCTCAGGGCATACTATGATTCTTGAGCAACATCCCCTAAAATTACGATATAACTGGAGTGATCCTAAGCATGGCACTTTTCTACCCTTGTGAACCGACACGTTTGTAGATGAAGAACCAGGAAGCAGGAATTCTGACTAAATTTTCTTTTTACATTTCTAAAAAGAGGAAAATATAATTCTCCCCTGTCCAATACTTCATCTGAAAGCAGAATATAGAATTAACATGGTTGTATTCATTTCTTAAATGTCTTCTATCCTTTATTGTACACACACACACATTCCTGCCTTAGGTAAATGACTTAATTTTTTTAATGTGTGATGAAATTTTTGTACTGCTATATGATGGTGTTGACTTCTGAGAAGACAATTCTAGTGCAGTGCTTATCTGGACTTAGCATTCTAGTTTAACCGATTTGTGTGACGTACTTGTTTCAGCCTAAAAATGTCTGAATTTTGGCAACTTTTTAGTACGGCTGACGTTCTTGTAGAAACAACAAAATTGTATTCCTTTTTACTTTAGCAGCAAGTGACTTCCTTCATACTGACTTTAAACATAGGAGATTTGTGTTTACTGTGATGCAAAAGTGTGTGATGAGCTCCAAAATAATTTCCTGAACTCCATCATTTACCTATTCAACAGCTGGGAAGCCTGCAACATCCTCTCATTTGTGCCACAGATAACTGTTTCTTTCAAACAAGGAATTTAAAATACCAGAGGAATATATTTTAGCGTTTTCTGAGAAATGCATTTTTACTAAATTTGGGGAAATCCTTCTAAACAGATACAAATGGCTCAGAATAGCAAGAAAGTTTATGAAGGTCATCAGGAACTGATATGCAAAGACGACAACTGCGTGTATCTGCCAGTGCCGTGAATCCTAGTTCTATTATACAATGAAAATCAGAGGTTTTTGTCTCCTTGGTCTGCACATCTTTTTTTTTTTCTCTTCACCTTTCTTCACCTTATTGTGAGGTATTTCTAAATCCAGTTCTTCAAGAGTCACTGCTCTGTGTTGTGGAATGCTGCAAGGTATTTGAGTCTCTGTTTTCATGGCTATCAGGTGCACAACTTTCCAGAGCTATAATTCTCTATCCATGATTCTGTTTTGCTCCGTAAGTCTCACTTGGCCTCTTGAATAAATTAGGACAATTACTTTCATGTGGTAAAGTGTTAAGGCAACTCCACTGACTTACAAAAAGAAGGCAGGAAAAGAATTTGAGCAGTAACACTGCATCATAAGACAGACCTACAGCAGAGGGGGATGTGGAAAAACAAGGAAAGGCAATTTTTCACATTCTATTCCTCTCTCATTGTCATTCGTGCAACATTTTAACGTCTTCCTTTGCTAACCACAGCTCTCAATCACACACATCATGTTGTATATAGGCAATAACAACAGAACGTACATGAATCATATATGCATACATAGCTATCTTGAGCTTTCTGTGCAGAAATAACTGTTAGATATAATGAACATAGGACCAAGTTACAGAATTTTAAAAAATCCAACAGAATAACACTTCTGTAATCAAATTGGCTTTTGTAGATGTAAAAGTCAAATACATTGCTGTCTTGTGTGTTATAAATAAGAAAAAAAGATTTTGAAGACCAGATGCTGCCCATGACTAAGTCTTCCTTTTCAAGATGAGGCTGAGAACCTGCTACTAACTTGTTAACATCTAAACACATGTGTTCTGACTTACTAAAAATGTGCAAGATTAAATTAAAAAGTTCATGGAGAAGGAAAAGAAATACCGGTGACCTCTGTCACCCATGAATTCTAGAAAATTTAAATATTTCCTTGAATTTGAGTGGCAGAGCAGCAGCGTTGTTGAAAAAGAAGCTGAGAGTTTTGAGTAAGTCATGGAGAAGGAAAAGAAATACCGGTGACTTCTGTCACCCATGAATTCTAGAAAATGTAAATATTTCCTTGAATTTGAGTTGCAGAGCAGCAGTGTTGTTGAAAAAAAAGCTGAGAGTTTTGAGTAAAAGACTGAATCCTCAAGTGAACTGCATCTTCCAGAAAAGCCTGAACCTTTGTAAAGATAACAAAATGTTACCTTAATTTCTGTCAACAGACACAGTTTATTCATAGAGTTAACCCAAAGCACAATTATCAGGCTATTAAACTGAAAACTGGCACACGTTTGTTACTTCACATGCATGACTACTCCTGTTCACTTCAATGAGTGCATTGCCCTGTATAAATTGGTGCAAGCATTTCAGTCTTCTGAACTTCAACTTAATATGTGAATCTTTTTTTTTTTTTGGTGGTTTGTTGTTTTTTTCCCCCCACCTTGATTTTGGCTATTTTAAAGTTGCTGTAACCCTTCTTTGTTTTAGGTATTCTTTATTTTCAAGAGTCTTGAACAAATCAAGAACTTATGAGCAGAACTGTTTGTAGCTTGATGTACAGCCGTTTTGTAATCGGTGGCGGTCATTCTGCCATCTGCAGTGGGTGTAAGCTGTTCTAATTGGAAGTATAAAAGCAGGGCACTTAATGAGACTTTTCATAAGGGTGCCCCTGGTTTGCAATCTGTCCAGCTAAGGATTAAAATTAGTGAGGGGAGGACCATGGAACTTGTTTATAACATCAGAATAAGTCATACTAATATTAATACCATGCAGTTCGTCAAAGCGTCTTGTGTTTCAGACTGTGCTTCAGCTTTGAGACTTGAGATGGGGTAGAGGCTAGTGCTTATGCCGTTGCTCTGGACTGGAGGAGTTGTGTGTTCAAGCCAGGTCATTTTACATCCCAGTTGAGAGCTCTGATCAACAGTCTAATGGCATTAGAGTTGTCTTTTTATTTATTCTTTTTTTACTGATCTGTTTGGCAGGTGTCAAAGGTAGTGGATGACAGGTCTTCAGAGGTGTCTTCTCGTTTTTTTTCATTAAGTGGAGCATTTAGGTGGTGATACCGCATTGACTGCATTATTCCCTTGGGCCCAACTGCTTACAGTTTCAGCCAAATTAGGCAAATTGGATCCCACCCAGTGCTGTTTGAATTGTGAGGTTAAAGTATTCAAAAATCAGGAAATGCCAGATTTATGGTTGTCTGCACAGTTGGCAGATGCTTGCTGCATAGGTTTTATGTGTCAGCCTTCAGTTGTGTCTCGTATTGTATACCCAAATCTGAACCAAAGCGAACTCTAATCCTGCCCCCAAAACCGTAAGCATGAAGTACACAGGATTGCTGATGAAAAATACTGTAAATTAATTTTTATCAATAAGTAACCTCCTTTTTTTTTTATTCTGTTAACTGTTTTGTAAATCTCAAAAGAATAAAGATACCTGTCTTTTGTATGAATTTTCACCATTTTCAGAAAAACCAGAGGAAACAAGCATAAAGGTACAAGAGGAGAAATAAAAAATGGGAGTTTTTTGAGTAATGAAAATTTGACTTCACATTTTTCTTGTACTTTTTGGGAGCATTTCCAGTTGCTTTAAATAAATGTTGGGAAAATTCATTGCAAGTGTCTTCCTTTCCCTCTGTTCCAGTGACATGGCTGTTGGGAGGTGAAAATAAAGGGGACGGGATTCTTCTTTTGCCTTAATAGCTAAGTGAGGAACGAAAGCCGTATCTTGCATCAAGATAGAATACAGCTTTTAAAAACATTCATATAATGAAAATCAGACGTAAGCTGCTTGAATTGCCTTTCTTTTATTGTGGGACAAGAGCCTGCACACATTTATCCTTGAATAACATGTTAGCCTCCAGTAATTGGAGATGGTTTATCCCTTGATGAAAAGGGGGTAAGCATCTGGGGGGGGGGAGGGGGGAACCAGCTCTTAGGCATCAGCTGTTCCATTGTTGCTGTCCTTGTGCTTCAAAGGGAAGACTTAAAGTAACTTTTTGGGGTTTTTAGGTCCTGAAGAATAAGAAAAGGTTGTTTTTATCA